CTATGCAGGATATAGAAATAAAGGACTCGAAATGGCAGTTTTACTCTATATTCCTTATATATATTTTTTCAGTTCTAGAGATTGAACTCAGATCTCACACTTGTTAGGCAAGCACTCTACTATTTAAACCATGCCCCTGGCCTAATAGTTTATACTTTAAACGTTTGGAGTTGGAGTAATAAAGTTGCTCATGTATCTATTAACTGCTAATCACTAAGCAATGTGTCTAAGATGGGTGATGTTTAATATTCTAAAACACAGATAATATCTATTATCCCAAACACATGGGTAATAGATTACTTTTTAATGCTAATACTAAGGGCTTGAACTCAGAGCCAGAAGGTTCTATAGCCTAGCTCAAGACTAGTGCTCTAATTCTTTTTTTTTTCTTTTTCTTTTTTTTTATCAGTCATGGGGCATGAACTCTGGGCTTGGGCCCTGTCCCCGAGCTCTTCGGCTGAGGGCGAGTGCTCTAACACTTCCGGTTTTCCAGTGGTTTATTGGAGATAGGAGTCTCACGGTCTCTCCAGCCCAGGCTGGCTTTGAACTGTTATCCTCAGATCTCTGCCTCCTGAGTAGCTAGGATTACAGGCGTGAGCCACCGGCCCATCAAGTGCTCTAATTCTTTTATTTTTGTTTGTTTGACTAGTGTTTTCTTTCATTTTTTTATTGTAAAAATACTGTACAGTGGGGTTACAGTTACATGAATAAGGAAGGTAATGAGTACATTTCCTATCCAGCATTGTTACTTCCTCCTTTGTTTTTCCCTTACTTCCCTCCCCACCTCCCCAACTCCTCCCTCTCCCCTTTCAGTTGTAAAGTTCGTTTCCAACATAGTGTCTTATATATTTTATTGTTATAATGGGTCAACCTGTATCCTTATTTCAGCATTTTATGTCCCTTCCCCTCCCCAAATTAGAAAAATGTATATACAAGATGCAGGACACTGGAGTCAAATACAGTGACAACAGGGGTTATACCATGGGGGAAGAACATACAAAAGAAACCAAAAAACACATAGTACATTTTAAATACATTAAAAACAATAGCAAGAAAGAAAAAACTACTTGTGTCCCTATCTTACGGTTCATTTCGCTTAACATTATCTTTATGGTCATATGTACCCTACTGCATTGTTAGTGGGAGTGTAAAGTTGTTCAACCACTTTGGAAAGCAGTATGGAAGTTCGTCAAAAGACTCCACCATAGAGCTCCCCTGTGACTCAGCAATCCTGCTTTTGGGCATTTACCCAAATAATCACAAACAAGGCTGTACTAAAGTTATCAGCACAACTATGTCTGTTGCAGCATTATTTGCCATAGCTAAGATATGGAACCAACCCAGATGCCCCTCAGTAGATGAATGGATCAAGAAAAAAAATATATATATATATGCACACACAATAGAATTCTATGCCTCCATCAGAAAGAATGACATTGCCCAATTTGTTAGGAAAGACTTGGAAAAAATTATATTAAGTGAGGGCTGGGAAGGTGGCTCAGTGGTAGAGCGCTTGCCTCCCATGCATGAGGCTCTGGGTTCGATTCCTCTGCACCACATAAGCAGAAAACACCGGAAGTGGTGCTGTGGCTCAAGTGGTAGAGCTTTAGCATTGAGCTGAAGAGCTGAGAGACAGTGCCTAGGCCCAAAGTTCAGCCCCCACGACCGGCAAAAAAAAACCCCAAACATATGTGTGTGTGTGTGTGTGTGTGTGTGTGTGTGTGTGTGTGTGTGTGTGTGTGTGTGTGTGTGTGTGTGTAGTGAAATAAGCCTCTAAGACAAACAGAAAGTGTTGTAATTCCTAATCATCATGTCTACTTCCAGTTTTTTGCTGATTAATTGGAGTTGTCTCTCAGATTTATTTGCCCAGGCTGGCTTCAAATCAGGATCCTCAGATGTCAGCCTCTTGAGTAGTGAGGATTACAGACATGAGCCATCAGTGCCCATCTACTAGGTGACTTTTAAGACTTCCAGTATCGGGCTGGGAAGGTGGCTCAGTGGTAGAGCACTTGCCTTGCATGCATGAGGCCCTGGGTTCGATTCCTCAGCACCACATAAGCAAAAAGAAAAAAGCCGGAAGTGGCGCTGTGGCTCAAGTGGTAGAGCATTGGCCTTGAGCTGAAGAGCTGAGGGACAGCACCCAGGCCCAGAGTTGAGGCCCCACAACCGAAAATAAATAAATAAATAAATAAAAAGACTTCCAGTATTGTCTCTATTTGGAAGAGTTTACAGTATCTTGGCATCTGAATGCAGAAGATAGATGCAGATAGTCCATGTGTGTCTCCTTGTTCTTGTAACATCTAAATTGTTATGGGAGGGTTTTTTTCTGAGTCTGGCAGTTTTAAAACTATAAATTTTAATAAAATATAACTTTAAAAATCTAAAGTTTTAAAGTACAAAAATAAAATTTTATAAATTTCATAAATGTTTATAAAAATATATACAATTGTATAAATCTATAAAAATTACAATTTAAAAATTTTAATTCAAATTATGTTCATGAAAAACATAATTTCTGTCTTCTCATGTATGTATCTTGCTTCAGTTTCCAAAGTGAGTCACTACTTCAGTAAAATGTGATTCCGAATAATCCCTCACTGTCTCTTCAGTCTTTGTGGCAGTGGCTTGCAACTTTTCCTCACTGTTTTATGGATTTAATAAAAGTAGTTATCTTTTGTTTTTAGCTTGTTGAGCTTTTTACTTGTTAGGACAGAATGGCAATTTCTAGTCTACGTAATGTAGAACTGAAAAGTTGAAGTCCTGTGCTGAAATTTTCATATTGCTTAAAGAAACATGATAGGAAGTCCAAGAGATATAGGTAGTAGACTTGACTGTCACTAACTGCATCAACCTGGAAAAATATCTCTGTCATCAGATTTTTAAAATAATTTTTTAGTGAAAACACTGTACAGAGGGGTTACAGTTACATGAACAAGATAATGAGTACATTTCTTATCAAGCATTGTAGCCTCCTCCTTTGTTTTCCCCTTACCATCCCTTCCCTCCCACCTCCACAACTACACTCCCCCCTTCCTCTGCCTAAATTGTATAGTTCGTTTTTCAACATAGTGTCTTGTACATCTCGTTGCAATGGGTCAACCTATACCCCTATTTAAACATCTTGTTTTTTCCTTTCCCCTCTCTAAATTATACCTATATCAAATACACTGAAAACTGGGGGGAGGGACATACAAAGCAACAAAAAAATCACATGGTACCTTTTAAATACATTAGAAACAATAGCAAGAAAGAAAAAACAACTTGTGTCCCTACCTTGGGGTTCATTTCATTTAACTTCATCTTATCTGGTCATATGTATATTGCTTTTGACCTTTTTTACTTGTCCCAGAATATACTAGTTATTGCAAATAAGGAAAACCATGGGACCTATGTTTCTTTGGGCCTGGCTTACTTCACTTAATATAATTTTTTCCAAGTCTTTCCATTTCCTAACAAATGAGGCCATGTCATTCTTTCTGATGGAGGCATAGAATTCCATTATGTATATATATATATATATATATTATAATATATACATATATATTATAATATATATTATGTATATATATATATATATATCACTTTCTTGATCCATTCATCTACTGAGGGGCATCTGGGTTGGTTCCATATCTTAGCTATGGTAAATAATGCTACAATAAACATAGTTGTGCTGGTAACTTTAGTACAGCCTTGTTTGTGATCAATCAGGTAAATGCCCAAAAGCAGGATTGCTGGGTCACAGGGGAGCTCTATGTGGAGTCTTTTGAGGAACATCCATACTGCTTTCCAAAGTGGTTGAACAAGTTTACACTCCCACCAACAATGCAGTAAGGTTCCCTTCTGTCCACATCCACTCCAGGATGTGTTGTTATTAGAGTTATTGGTTATAGCCATTCTAACTGCGTATTACCATATTTGTTTACTCATCTGTAAAATGAGAGGTCAGTATTAGCGCAACGGTTTTTTAAATGGCATGCTTCACAAACCTGGAAATTTGAAGCTTCTGTTCTCCATCTACTTCTGGTTCAATTAGAAATGCTCTTCCTTCCATTCTTCCTCCCTTCCTCCTTTCCTTCCAGTCACTAGAGATGAACCCAAGACCTCATGCACACTAGATGAATGCTCTACCACTAAACTATACCCAGCCCTATCTTTTCTTAGAAGATTTCTATATATTTTATTTGAAATAATGGTTCTAAACTTCATTTTAATAATAATGTATGTTATTAATTACCCTTCCTTAAAAAGTCCAGGACAAAGTAAAGAAAACAATGATATTGTCCAGAAAAAAACTTGCTCATTACCTGACATAAAATGGTAGTCCCTCTGTACAACACGTTAATAATAATAAAACTATTTTTTCAATGTTTTTAAAGCTTGGCAGGAGGACCAGTGGGTAAGGGACAGTATCCAGACCTTGAATTCAAATGCCAGCACTGGCACACATACACAGCAAGACCCACTACAAAAACAAAGGTTATAAATGACAGAGGTTATCACTTACTCCCAAATTTAATGAGCCTGTAATATAAAACCTTATATGTCACTGAAATCCTCTGATAAAAGTGGATGCAGAAATAGAAGAAATGGGACTGGGAATATGGCGTAATGATAGAGTGCTTGCCTAGCATGCATGAAGCCCTAGTTTTGATTCCTCAGTACCACATAAACAGAAAAAGCTGAAAATGGCACTGTGGCTCAAGTAGTAGAGTGCTAGCCTTGAGCAAATGAAGCTCAGCGACAGTGCCCAGGCCTTGAATTCAAGCACAAGGACTAACAAAAGAAAAAGAAAAAAAGAGAACTAGAAGTGTGGAAGCATTGGGTATAAGTAACTATGTCATGGGCGGGGGAGGGGTGCATTAAAGGGTAAATTTTAGCTTTGAACAATGAACTGCACCCTTTAAAATTTTTAGTCCCATTTTAAAATAGTATCTTTTTCAGTGTTTCATTCATAGTGAAGGTTTAGAACAATTGAAAACTTTTTTCTTTATTTTTTTTAGAAAGAATGAAATGAATAGACTTATAACTTACTTCAATACAGGTAAATATCTCCTTGGTTATTTTCAGTTCTTAACTTGCCTCTATCCTCCATTGAATTCTTCAAGTACATTAAGCACACAGATTTCAACCTAATATTTGAGTTCAGCTTTGTGTTCCTTATTAATGTTGACCATAGAAGTCTATTTTGGTTTCTTCATCCACAAGCAAAGAAAAGACTTTAGCTCTGTTTTTAGTTTGTTCTAAAGACATGCCCCTCTCTTCTGTTCTTCCCTTCTTTCTTTACTGATTTTTTTCTCTCCAATTTCCACATGATCCTAATCTATGAACTGAACATGTAATAAAAAAGATATCAAGCCCAAAACTCTGCTAGTTTTTCATGCTCTCTAAACCAAATTAACACTGTTAACTCTTTTATTTTTTATTAGCATCAGTTAGTGGTACAAGGGAGCTTTATTCCCCATCTCCATATATGCATGCATTATACCTTGATGAGACTCACCCTCTCAACACTCCTACATTGAATTGTCTATCTACCCATCTGTCATATCCTCTATTTACTCATACTACTTTTAAACTACTTAATGCAAACTAATCTCTAGCAACATCACATTTTCACCCCACTTTCTTTGAAGGCATCCTTTATGTATAACAGGTCTTTTTATTTCTAATGCCCATGAATTTATTTTTTTAACACTCAAAACATACCAAAGACTCCATACCTTAGAAATTCTATTGCATTTATTACTGCAGTTCATTTTTATACCTCAGTTTCCTGTCATCAGGGCATTAAACATAGCAAACTAATTTGAAGCCAAAGCTTTTCAAATGAAGAAAATTTTACTGGTATACATTCTTATTTCTCAGAAAAGTATTGGGTAAGTAATAAGTACTTTCTGGCAATGAAAGCATAATAAGTACTTTCTGGTAATGAAAGCATGTTCTGGTTCTACACTGATCTTTATTTTGAATGAAATAAATAGCAATAAATTATTATGCCAGTCTATTGGTACTCTTCCAATTCTCACTCTCAATTTTAGACTTTTTAAGGGGTTGTTTTCTTGGTACTAAATATTGAACCTAGAGTCTCTCACATGCTAAGCATCATTTCAGGATTTTAATTATCATTCTTGTTCATTTCCTTACATGTAAATCATGTCTTTCTATGTCACATGGTAAATGATTACACCAATTAAAATTATAAATTCTCTATAAAGATACATTTGTTTTCTCAAAGCCTGAATTAACTACTTCTTGGAGGTTGGCATTTTTTTGTAACTTTAATTATTGTTGATATGTACCCACACATACACACGTGTACATGAAGAGAACTTGAATTCGAATTCATGTGTGATTGTTTTAATAAGCAGAGTTAACAACTTTGCTCGAGTATAAGATAAAAGACCTCAGTATCACATTTTCCTGTTTGATGTAGCACTCCTGAAACTTACTCAGCTTTGTGATGAACAACAGAATAACAGAATTAATGAAGATAACAGGATTAATGAAGCTCATTGGTTTCGGAAGATAGGTAAATGAAAATTGCATTTGGGGAATAGTGTGAGACTAGGAATCAGTTGTGGATTCAAATTCTGCTCTTTATAGCTATGGGTAGTATAAGTTGCTTAATCTCTGTTTCATTACTTATATGATAAAAAGTATATGTACTTTATGTGGTTACTTACTAAGGGTTTAATATGAAACATTATATGTACTTGGTACATAGTAATAGGGAATTCAGTATCAGTTTTCAGTTTTTTGGGGGGTTCTGGTCGTGGAGCCTAAACTCTGGGCTGGGGCGCTGTCCCTCAGCTCTTCAGCTCAAGGCTAGCGCTCTACCACTTGAGCCACAGCGCCACTTCCGGCTTTTTTCTTTTTGCTTATGTCGTGCTGAGGAATCGAACCCAGGGCCACAGGCATGCAAGGCAAGCGCTCTACCACTGAGCCACCTTCCCAGCCCCTCAGTTTTCAGTTTTGTTCATCTTTACTTTTTCTTCTTTTTTATTGCAAGACCAGTACTAAAACTCTGTACCTGCCACTTTGCTCATTGATTGGCGCTCTACCAACTGAGCCATGATTCTAAATAATTTTGTTCATTTTCTATAGAGAATAATTGAAGAGCACAATAGTGAATTATAATTTCAGGCCCTCAAAGTTATCCTGGTCTAGATTGCCTAAATTATTTATGAGTATGGTCAACCAGAAATTGACTACATGCAACAATATGAGTGAATCTCACAAATATAAGTTTGAATAAAAGGAGCCAAACATTGAAGAATACATATTGCACAATGCAATATGCAATATTGCATATGGAAAAACAGACAAAAGTAATTTATAAGGTTAGAAATAATTTTAGGCTTTTTAAAATTAGGTAATAACACAGTTGAAGCAACAGAGGAATGGTGGGGCAATAAATAATATTTGAAGTACATATAGAATATGTGAGTAGGAAACAGAGAATGGGTGGAATTGGGAGAGGTGAAGGAACATGATAGCTATGACAGTGATCTAGATGCATTCTGCCCAATAATTGACATGTTGCATTGAAACCATTTGTGCAAATACATTTAAAAAATCCTAAAAGTGGAACTATGGCTCAAGTGTTAAGAGTACTAGCCTTGAGCAAAAAAGTTCAGAAACAGCACCCAGGCCCCAGGCCCAGAACACCCTCCCTAGCCCACACCCCACAAGGTCCTCAGTAGTAAAAAGGCAATTAGCTCACTTTGAAAATGAGTGAATCTGATTTGACTTACCAGTTCTACTCTACATGACAAAATGAAAAAAAATCTTTGGGTAAAAAATAATTCAAGCAAAAATAAAATCTCCCAACAAAGAGTCACTTCTATCAGATTTACCCTAAATTCTTTTAGGCTTTTAATGAAAACTAATACCAATGCTTCTCAAACTATCCCACAAAATACAAAGGGAAGCAATACCTCCAAACTCAATTCTATGAAGCCAGTATTATTCTAATAACAAACCCAGAAAAAGACTCAACATGAAGACTATAGATCAATTTCCTCAATGAACATAGGTGCAAAATCCTTAATTTAATACTTACAAACTAAATTCAACAACACATTTAAAAGATCACACACCATGAACAAATTGAGTTCATTTTAGTAAGCAGGATGGGTTTAGCATGTGCAAATTGATAAACATAATACAATATATAAACAAAATCAAGTACAAAAATATCACATACCTATGTCAGAATTACTACTAGCTATAGAAAGATGAGACCAAAGAACAATAAAGCAAGCATATTCTCAAAGTGAAAAGCTAGAAAAAAATCTTTCGAGCAAATGGCCCCCATAAACTGGCTGGAATAGCAATCCTAATATTAGATAAAATAGACTTCAAATTAAAATTAGTGAGAGGGGCTGGGAAGATGGCTCAGTGGTAGATCGCTTGCCTTGCATGCCAGAGGCCCTGGGTTCGATTCCTCAGCATCACATAAGCAAAAAGAAAAAAGCCAGAAGTGGCTCTGTGGCTCAAGTGGTAGAGCACTAGCCTTGAGCTGAAGAGCTGAGGGACAGCGCCCAGGCCCAGAGTTCAGACAAAAATTAAAATGAAAATAGAATAAAATTAATGAGAAGAGACAAAGAAGGACATTGCCTAACAATAAAGGGATCTCCTACAAGAGGATATAACAATTTTAAATATTTGTGTACCAAATACTAGAGCACACAATTTCATCAAACAAATACTATTGAACCTAAAACACACATAGATCCAAACACATTGATTGTTGGTGACTTCAGTACATTGCTGTCGCCTCTGGATAGATCATGCAGGCAAAACTCAGCAAAGAAAATGCAAACCTAAATAATTGCATAGACCAACTAAACTTAACAGACATCTACTGAATATTTTATCCAGCAGCATCAGAATATACATTCTCAGCAGTTAATGGAACATACTCCAAAGTAGATCATATTTTAGGTCATAAAGAAAATGGTGCAAATTAAAAAAAAAGTGAAATTATTACCAGCATCCTGTAAGACCACAGTGGAATAAAATTAGAGCTCAATTCCAAAAGCCATCACAGAAAATTATCTAGCTCGTGGAGACTGAACAACACATTTCTGAATGACCAGTGGGTCACTGAAGAGATTAGAATGGAAATTCAAACATTTGTGAAATTTAACAAAAATGAATACACCAAATACCTGCTCATCTGGGACACAGAAAAGGCAGTACTCAGAGGAAAATTTATAGTGCTGATTGCCTACATCAACAAATTGTAGAAATCTCAAATCAACACTTTACTGATGAATCTCAAGCTCCTTGAAAAACAGGAACAAGCCAAACCCCAAACTAGTAGACAGAAATAATCAAAATTAGACCCAGAAGTACATGAATTAGATACTAAAAAACCCTAGAGAGAATTAAGATTTGAGCTCTCTGTTCTTTTCTAGCTCTCTCTCTTGCTGTTCTTTTCTAGCTCTATCTATCTCTCTCTGCTCTCTCACTGCTCTATTCTAGCTCTCTTTGCTCTCTCTCTGTTCTCTGCTCTTTTCTAGCTCTTTCCCAGGCCTTTCCCAGCCACGTGGAGTGCCAACCTTGCCTGGTCCCAGCAGGTCTACTGAATAAACCTACCCCTTACCTGAATTCTGCATCCGCTGAGGTCACATCTGAATTTGATGTGGCCACACCTTTCCCTGCCCATACCCTAAATAAGGCCTAGCTCAGGCCCAGGTGCTCTCTCTGTTCGTTTCTAGCTCTCTGCTCTCTCTGTTCTATTCTAGCTCTCTCTCTGTTCTTTTCTAGCTCTCTCTTCTTTCTCTCTGCTCTAGCTCTTTCCTCTCTTTTTCCTCTCTTTCCCAGCTCTCTCTCATTCCCAGGCCTTTCCCAGCCACGTGGAGTGCCACCCTTGCCTGGTACCATCAGGTCTACTGAATAAACCTACCCCTTACCTGAAAAAAAAAAAGAATTAAGATTTGATTCATTGAAAAAATAGAATTGACAAACCCTTAGCAAATGTGACTAAAAAAAGAAGAGAACACACCCAAATAAAATTAGACAAAAATGGGAACATCATGACAGAAACAAGGAAGATTCAGAACCTTATAAAAAGGAGTACTCTGCAAACCTTTATGCTAACAAATTGGAAAATCTGGAGGAAATGGAAGAATTCCTAGAGAATATTGATATACCCAAACTAAACCAAGAAGATTTAAACCAACAAAATAGACCCATAGACAAGTAATTAAATTGAAATGACAATAAAAGTCCTCCAATCCAAGAAAAGCCCAGGACCAGAGTGATTTATAGCTGAATTCTATAAGGCTTTCAAAGGAGAACTCACTCCAATACTCCTCAATCTCTTCAATGAAATAGAAAGGGGACGATCACTACCAAACTCATTCTATGTAGCCAGCACAACACTCATCCCAAAACCAGATAAGGGCACATCAAAGAAAGAAAACTATAAACCCATTTCTCTGATGAACACTGATGAAAAACTTCTCAACAAAATTCTGGCCAACTGACTTCAACAACTAGCCAAAAAACCACATACTATGACTAAATAGGATTCATTCTAAGGTTGAAAAGCTGGTTCAATACGCAAATCAATTAGTGTAATTCAACACATCAACAAAGGCAAGGCCAAGAACCACATAATCATCTCAATTAGATGGAGAAAAAGCATTTGTGAAGATTCAAAACTGCTTTTTGATAAAAAGCTCTGGAGAAGCTAGGATCCATGGAACATTCCTCATACATAAGACGCTGAAATCAGGAAAACAATTCCATTTGTAATAGCCTAAAAATACCTAGGAACTAACCTAACTGAAGATGTGAAAGACCTGTCTTATGAAAACTTTATAAATCTGAAATAAGAAATTAAAGCAGGTTTACAAAAATGGAAAAACCTTCTATGCTCCTGGATTAGAGGGATTAACATCGTGAAAATGGCAATACTGCCCAAACTATCTATGAATTCAGTGTAATACCCATCAAAATCAAACAACATTCTTCAAAGATATATAGAGAGCAATCCAAAAAATCATATTGAATAATTTTAAAAAGCCCAACTAACATAAACAATCTTTAGCAAGAAGAACAGTATTGGATGAATAACAATGCCCAATCCTCAAACTCTATTATAAAGCCATAGTAATAAAAAAAGAGCTTGGTACTGACACAAGAATAGGCCTGAGGACAAATTGAGCAGTAGAAAACCCACAGACCTAAGCCACCTAATATTTGATAAAGGAGCCAAAAACACAGGATAGAAGAAAGACAGCTGTTTCAATAAATAATGTTGCCAGAATTGGCCATAAAATTAGATCCTTATATATCACCCTGCACCAGAATCAATTCCAAGCGGATCAAAGACTTCAGTGTAAGGCCAGATATCATGAAAATGTTACAAGAAGGGGTAGGGGAAACACTAGGGCTCCTAGGCATGGGTCAAAACTTCCTAAGTAAAGAACCAGAATCATAGCAAATCAAAGTAAGACTGGACAAATAGGATTGCATCAGATTGAAGTTTCTGCATGGCAGAGGATATAGCTAGCA